TATATGGACCTTGAGCAAATAGTAGCTCTCTTATGGTCTGACAAATTTAAATGTTTTAATCGATCGTGAATGTGTACATAGCATTAATATTACTCCACACAGTCTTTACAGGTGTTAAGTGACATGTTATAAAACACAAAACTCTGTTCGTACACTAAAAAATCTGGATTTTTTTTTAAACGAAAATGAAATAATTGCATGGTGTGGTATACAATGTTCCAAACGTTGTGTAAATGTAGCTGGTGATATATGTGATGGCTATCCAGCTGATACTTCAGACTTTAAGCTTATATCTTCTACACTTCGCATCAAAAGGTAACGGCTGTTGACGGTATTCTCTCTAAGTTACTGACTGAAGTTTAACATACTTTTCCTAATCGGTTTGAGAAGGCACAGGCTGCTCCAGTTTACAAAATGAAGTATACCATGGACAGAGGGCCTGTATCGCTCACCTGAATATGTTTAAAATAATTGGTTTGAAGTAAAAATATAGCACTCCATGGTAGGTGCTGTAAGTACATACGAAATTTCAGAAAGATCCATCCAGTACTTGAGATATAGCAAAAACAAACTTCAAACAAAGCCTTACCCCATCGTTTATACAAAATTGAATCCCCTTGGCCAAAGGCTGCTCCAGACTAAATAAGGATAAAATCCCTTAATCCCGATGGTCGAAGAAGGATTTTAAAGGTTTTACCTCTAATTCTCCTCCTATTGGGCCCCACCCTTCTGTCCCCTTGGAGACCACACTCACTGCTTATACAAAATTGAGTCCTCTCCTTGGCCCAAGGATGCTCCAGACTAAATTAGGATAAAATCCCTTAATTCCTATGGTAGAAGAAGGATTATAAACGTTTTACCTCTATTTCCCCATTGGGCCCCACCCCTCAGGTCCCAGTGGGGGGCACACCCACCGTTTATACAAAATTGGTTCCCCTTTACCCAAGGATGCTCCACACCAAATATGGACCAAATCCTTTCCTTCCTACAGAAGCAGAAGTATTTTAAAGAATTTGCTATATTTCCCCTATTGGGCCCCGCCCCTAAGGCCCCTGCGGGGCCAGACCCATGGTTTATACAAAATTAATTCCTTATGGCCCACGGATGCTCCAGACTAAATAAGGATAAAATCCCTTAATCCCTACGGTAGAAGAAGGATTTTAAATGTTGTACCTCTATTTCCCCTATTCGGCCCCGCTCCTTTGCCCTGAAGGGTAACACACCCACTATCTAATCAAAATTGAGTCCCATTGGCCTAAGGATGCTCCAGACCAAATTTAGTCAAAATCTACTTAGCCGTTCAGGACAAGTAGCATTTTAAAGGAAAAGTTGACGGACGGACGACGGACGCTGCGGTATAGCATAAGCTCACCATGGTCACAACAGGCCTGTCAGCATTTTTCAAAGTTACTCCAAACTCTCTGAAAAAAACAATTTTTGATGAATACGAGGTATCTAAGTAATATTTTAAATTCCTTTTCGGCAGCCATCAGAAAAGGGCCCGTTTTCATGACGCTGTTCTCAAGCTCAACCTCTGATTCTATGTTCATACCCACTTTCTTGTTCTGATGATAAATACATATAAAATCACCTTACTTCATTGATTTGGAAAGAACTTTAAGAGTCCTCATGCCGAATACCGTGTAATATACTTTACTTTTCCCCCATCCTCATTGACCTATCTAAGTTGTTTTTTTACATTCTTCCTCGCGATAAATTAGGAAGCTGGACCTGGTATCTATTTGCAGGCTAAGCTTGGCTGCAAATACTGCCACACGTTAGTTCAGTTATTGGGCCCTTACTTTTTAAAGATGACGTGGTCTTTTTGTTAAGTCATCTTAACTCAACTATTCAGTTGAAAACACAAATGAGGATCGTGAAGTTTTAACAATCTGCTGAATCTGAGTTTTATAACTCAGTAAACTAGTCTAACGAAAACAGACGAGGGTAAATCGTGATATAGTTCAGGTTATTTCTCATATTGAACAAGACACAGAATTATATAACATGGCGAGGTAAACATAGAATAAACAAATCATGTTGATAATAATGATGACGACGAGGTGATGAAATATTGTCAAGTTTACCATCAACTTGCGTTCTACAGACTATAATTGATATCAAAGTTACACGTTTCATTATATAGTAACCGTAAACTCGCGTCACTCTTTGTACCTTGGTATTGTGACAGGGACATGATAATTTGTTACAGCTATATTTGGACTTAAGCTAAGGTGTTTAGAGTAATTTTACACGTTTTAAGGGTTTATATCAATTTTCGGTAAAATGCCACACTCAATGATGATTCTCAGGTCCCTGTGGCAGTGAGAACACGAGGTTATCACACCTGGCATGATTCACATTATCCATCACAGACAATGATCATAAAACTTATAAACATAAATAAGGTAACAGGATATTTTATCAATCACCATAAAACATAATGGTTTGGGAAAATAAACAACTGACCAAAAACCAAACACAAAAGATACATGCTATATAAAAATATACAACACACAATTGTAATGAAATAGGAATTTGAGCTCAAACTTGAGAAAACTAGGGTAAAATATTAACAAATGTAAGATTTACATGGAAACCTTATAAAAAGAAAACAATGTATTTCGCAAGGGTAAGCACGTTTTGCTTCATCGGCGATACCCGTCACGAAAATCAAGGTCAAATCTGAGTAGTGTCACGCCCTCAAAGTGAGAACCAGGGCAGTGAAAAATAACCAGGCACACTAGTGAACGTAATAAAAAAAAACGACTTTAATATCACACACGGAAATAGCATGTTTCTTAAACGGATCATGATGGCAACCCTAAAACTTCCATTCTTTATCAACCTGCATTGAGTCGACAGCTATCGCGTTAATAATGCTATACGGCGCAAGCTTTTAAATACCGAATCAACCGAGACATATAAACAACGTAGCTGGGGAAGCAGAAACGTTACTATCAAGAAAGGGAGAAAGTTCATTATATGAAAATCGTCAGCATTAAACACACAGCTTAGTAGAAAGCCGTCCCTGCTGTAAGTAAATATCGAGGGAAATGGCAGATTTATACGAGACTGTAGAGTCCTTGATTTCAAGTATAGAGGAGTTTATTGGATGGACGTGGTGAACTCTTTTTGTTATTTAAAGACATTATATACGAAAGTGAAATTGGACGAGCGGCTAGGTTTTCCTTATTAAAGACATTATGTACGAAAGTGAAATTGGACGGGCTGGCTAGGTTTTCCTTAACGGTCCTGCTTTGATCTAAGAGAGACAACCCTGACATCTATTCTAACTTAATCCCAATGTACTGTCATCTTCTCTGAACTGTCTACAAAACATCCGTCACAAAATGTAAAAATGTAATGGTGCTACAAATGCAAAAGTATTCACGTTTTGTCTGCAGACATTTTTGCATGTATTTAATTTACGTTTATGTGACCAAGTCTTAGGCCATTGTTATTTTTTTTTATCTAACAATACTTTTCTGAACTTCTCATTGGATAAATTGCTAATATTTGACTGCTGTTTTTCCATATTTATCTATTTTATCTTAATATAACTCGTCACATCTTCAAAACAAGAGGTCCAATGGGTTTGTTTCGGTAACCTGGTATTCAGTGGTGTGACATTCAAAACTGAAAATTTCAAATTAACTTATCCAAACTCGATAGGTATTCATCCTAGTATGCTACAGGCTAAATAGATCACCTCATCATTCAAAGGTTTTCACACATTTGATCTAAAGGACCATTAAAATTGGCCAAAGTCATCCACTTAAACAAAACATACCGACCCTTTGCTTTTTGGTTATTTAGAAGTCAGTTAACTGGTTTAATGTGCATTTGACCCTTGCTTTGAATGTGGGTCAAGGTTATGTTTTTGAACAATCTAGATATAAAATTTTAAAAAAATCTCTTTTCCAACATGCAACTGTATTAATATCACCTTAGACCTCTTCATATCAGAAGACGTTTAAAGATTTTAACAAATTTGACCTCTATGACCTTGAAAGCGAGACAAGATCACTTATTTGAACAAACTTGATAGCCCTTTATTTCAGAATGCTGTTTCCCTGATATTACCACCTTTTAGCTTTCTTATTTTTTTCAGAAGAATTTGTTTCAAGGCTTCAACAAGTTAGGCCCCTGTACATGTATGTGTATATGGTTATAAGATGGGGATCCCAGCTATTTCCAAGTTATGATCCAAATACAAAATAGCAGAGATAAACAGTCATCGTGAAACAAATATCACAAACCTCATTATAGAAAACTGGTTACTGCCATGTATTATGTGATGTAGTAGTGTCTCCTGGTGACTGTTTATCTGTGTTATATGTTTTGATATGTAATTGTTCATATTTCTGTCTAATAAAGGATTGCCTTGAAATGTTCAGATTCCTTTGTCCGCACTGTGGATATTACTCGTTTGCTTTAATATATATAATCAGGTGTTTTTATATAGCAGTAATTGTTTCAAAACTAAATGGTCGTAATGGCTATATTTTTTTCAATACAGCAGTATATTTATTTAAATTATTTACTTCATGTAATCCTCCAGGGTTCCAATGTTTTATAGCAATGGCTATTTTTTTAAGTTTGTTTTCCTTTCAAATGGCATTAATAATAATCATTTACAGCCGATACTTTAAAGGATTGGGAGTGTAGAACTCTTAAGGTATGCTGATACATATAAAAGGATCAAACTTAATAACACCTTCCTATTAGCTTAATTCCTTTTTAATGGTCAAACTAAATAACTCCTCCTTTATATTAGTTTCGGTTTATGATTCAATGCTATGAAAGACTTGTTCCTTGCTGGACCTAGTTAGAGAAGATCAACCGTCTAAAGACACATCATTAAGGCCCTCGGACTACAAACATCCAGGCCAGCAAGACTGATTGATATCAGCTGATATAACTAGTATCGTAATTGCTGTAAAATAAAAAACAAAGTTTATAATAAAAGACACATAATCATCAATATCATTTATTGAAAATCTTATGTACATCACAAAGACATATATATGTATACTTTTACAATAATTACAATTAAAATATCTCACCGGTCAAAATGCACTAATTGTGGAATAAAAATATTGCCAAATTATGGTACAAAATAATGTTACTGTCATAGATTACCCTGAACTGATTCCTGACAGGATCAGTCAAATTTCTAAAACAAGGTGTCAATTAGACTCGTGATAATAAGATATTCACATAGGGTAAACAGATTCATACACGGACACATGCACTTAAAAAATCATTTACAACAAAGGAGATCACAAATTACTCTATCAAAATAGTTCTTCATATCCATGCAAGAAGTAAAATATTAAATCTACATAAATCAACCATTAAAATAATTATTTTACACACCCTAATTTTATTAATTGTCCCTTTGAAATGTCTTTATATCTTGTATGTGTATATACCAACTGATTTCACTGAAGCAATAAACATACTGAAGTTGTACATTTCTTGCACATTGTCATTTTATGAAATCTCTTAGTCACTTTAAAATATTGTTTTAAAATTCTATGTATATTAACCAATATCACTGAAACAATTTTCTGGCATAAACATATCAGAATTGTACATTTCAGGAAGCTGTTCTATATCAAATGACATTGATGGTTCTGTGTCGTAGGGTTCCCGAGATAACTGATAGCCCTCTGATGACTGAGACGCAGGGCCAATCCCCATCTGTGGATCTGACAACAGACCTCCAGGATTGTCAAACCTGTAGTCCAGTCGTAGGATCTCGGGATTGATGTTGGGGAGGAGTGGGCTGGTCAGTGCTGGACAGGCCTGGTCCTGGGAGCCTGTAGAGATGGGCGGGACACAGCTCATGTTGTACAATGTCTGCTGCTGTTCATTCCATGCCAGGGCAGATGCAGGTAAAATTGCAGGTGAGTCTACAACTTTTGTTTTACCTGAAATGTGAATTAAAACCATGTCATTGAAAGGTATGAGATTGCATTCACCTGTTCTAATATTCAGATAATTTCAACAGATTTAAATGTTCAATTTGATATGATTATTTTTCTATAGGTAAAGACTACTTACCAGATGAGGCAAGCATGTGATCTTTAGTGCCCGTCTGCCAGTCTGGGCCACAGGTAGACAGGATGGGATCAGGGTCACGTACCGGTGAGGGCACCACATCGCTTGGTCTTGTGAAAGTTGTTGTCGGCACTTTGTCCATACCTAATAGAGGGCCATACTCTGCCAGAGATATCCCGTACTCATTGGCAATACACACCACATCCTGGATTAAAAGATTCTTTTAACAAATCTTTAACAAATAATAAATATATCTAAAACAAATACTAGCATTATAAGCATGTAGTCGGAAATCCGTTTCAGTTACCATTGATGCTAAGAGACCTAAGGACCTTCCCAGCCATTATAGATTGATACAATGGACTGGTTTGAAGATTGATGACAATCTACATGATGACATGAAGTGGTGAATGTTGATGATTTTTTTCATTGTCCAGAGTAATAGACTATTTTGATCATATCTAGATAAATAGACTACCTCTCTAGATATCAATATCTTAGGTAATAGTACCTGTATATGCATAAGACAAGTAATTTGACTAGTGCTCTAGGTATATGTATAATAATGGAATAGCTCTCTATAGGCAAAGCTATTCCACAAAAGTGGAGTAGAATAGTTAAACTGTATATTTACTCACCTCAAGATTCCCATATTCCCCTTGTAGATCCAATTCCTTTTCCTCCTCCTCTGTCAAGAGAGCTATTACTTTGTCATGAGTGTCAGGGTCAAGGTCAAAATCATCATAATCAGGTTTTTCTGACCCTTCAAAAAAGTACAGGCACGAGGTCAACAAACCGATGTGTGTAATCCTTTCAAAATGTGAAAGTCTTCAAGGCAGCTTTTGTAACATTGATCATTCCAAAATAGATTGCAAGGGGAACATATCTTGATCCTTTCAAAAATACCCTACCATGGCAATCACCCATCAATGAAACAAAATACATGTATAACAATTTACCAAGTTACAAATTCCTGCCATAATTTTTGTCATACTAAATTTCCCAGCATCTGTCGAGACAAGTTACTAACAGCTAGTGCTCCCCTATTACTAAGTGTAACCAAATAACATATCAGCGACAAGTTACTAACAGCTAGTGCTCCCCTATACCTAACCATACCCCAATAACATATATCAGAGACAAGTTACTAACAGCTAGTGCTCCCCTATTACTAAGTGTAACCAAATAACATATCAGCGACAAGTTACTAACAGCTAGTGCTCCCCTATACCTAACCATAACCCAATAACATATATCAGAGACAAGTTACTAACAGTTAACCGTAACCCAATAACATATATCAGAGACGAGTTACTAACAGTTAACCGTAACCCAATAACATATATCAGAGACAAGTTACTAACAGCTAGTGCTTCCCCATAACTAACTGTAACCCAATTAACATATCAGAGACAAGTTACTAACAGCTAGTGCTCCCCCTATACCTAACCGTAACCCAATAAGTTATCAGAGACAAGTTACAAACAGCTTGTGCTCCCCTATAACGAACTGTAACCCAATTACATATCAGAGACAAGTTACTAACAGCCAGTGCTACCCTATATAAACTAAGTGTAACCCAATTAACATATCAGAGACAAGTTATTAACAGTTAACCGTAACCCAATAACATATATCTGAGACAAGTTACTAACAGCTAGTGCTCCCCCATAACTAACTGTAACCCAATTAACATATCAGAGACAAGTTACTAACAGCCAGTGCTACCCTATATAAACTAAGTGTAACCATATAACATATCAGAGACAAGTTACTAACAGCTAGTGCTCCCCTATACCTAACTGTAACCCAATTACATATAAGAGACAAGTTACTAACAGCTGGTGCCCCCCAATATAAACTAAGTGAAACCCAATTAAATATCAGAGACAAGTTACTAACAGATAGTGCTACCCTATAACTAACTGTAACCCAATTAACATATCAGAGACAAGTTATTAACAGTTAACCGTAACCCAATAACATATATCAGAGACAAGTTACTAACAGCTAGTGCTGCCCTATAACTAACTGTAACCCAATTAAATAATAAGAGCAAGTTACTAACAGCTAGTGCTCCCATATACCTAACTGTAACCCAATTACATATAAGAGACAAGTTACTAACAGCTGGTGCCCCCCTATACCTAACTGTAACCCAATTCCATATCAGAGACAAGTTACTAACAGCTAGTGCTCTCCTATAACTAACTGTAACCCAATTAACATATAAGAGACAAGTTATTAACAGTTAACCGTAACCCAATAACATATATCTGAGACAAGTTAATAACAGCTAGTGCTCCCCTATATAAACTAAGGGTAACCCAATTACATAACAGAGACAAGTTACTAACAGCTGGTGCACCCCTATACCTAACTGTAACCCAATTGCATATCAGAGACAAGTTACTAACAGCTAGTGCTACCCTATATAAACTAAGTGTAACCCAATTAAATATCAGAGACAAGTTACTAACAGATAGAGCTCCCCTATAACTAACTGTAACCCAATTAAATAATAAGAGCAAGTTACTAACAGCTAGTGCTCCCATATACCTAACTGTAACCCAATTACATATAAGAGACAAGTTACTAACAGCTGGTGCCCCCCTATATAAACTAAGTGTAACCCAATTAAATATCAGAGACAAGTTACTAACAGATAGTGCTCCCCTATAACTAACTGTAACCCAATTAACATATCAGAGCAAGTTACTAACAGCTAGTGCTCCCCTATACCTAACTGTTATTAACTTGTCTCTGATATGTAATTGGGTTACAGTTAGGTATCAGAGACAAGTTACTAACAGCTAGTGCTACCCTATATAAACTAACTGTAACCCAATTACATATCAGAGACAAGTTATTAACAGCTGGTGCCCCCTTATATAAACTAAGTGTAACCAAATTACATATCAGAGACAAGTTATTAACAGCTGGTGCCCCCTTATATAAACTAAGTGTAACCCATTTACATATCAGAGACAAGTTACTAACAGCTTGTGCTCCCCTATGACTAACTGCAACCCAATTACGTATCAGAGACAAGTTCCTAACAGCTAGTGCTCCCCTATAACTAACTGTAACCCAATTACATATCAGAGACAAGTTAATAACAGCTTGTGCTCCCCTATGACTAACTGTAACCCAATTACGTATCAGAGACAAGTTACTAACAGCTAGTGCTCCCCTATACCTAACTGTAACCCAATTACATATCAGAGACAAGTTACTAACAGCCAGTGCTCCCCTATGACTAACTGTAACCCAATTACATATCAGAGACAAGTTACTTACAGCTGGTGCTCCCCTATATAAACTAAGTGTAACCCAATTACATAACAGAGACAAGTTACTAACAGCTAGTGCTCCCCTATACCTAACTGGAACCCAATTACATATCAGAGACAAGTTACTAACAGCCAGTGCTCCCCTATGACTAACTGTAACCCAATTACATAACAGAGACAAGTTACTAACAGCTGGTGCTCCCCTATATAAACTAACTGTAACCCAATTACATAACAGAGACAAGTTACTAACAGCGGGTGCCCCCCTATATAAACTAAGTGTAACCCAATTACATAACAGAGACAAGTTACTAACAGCCAGTGCTCCCCTATATAAACTAACTGTAACCCAATTACATAACAGCGACAAGTTACTAACAGCTAGTGCTCCCCTATATAAACTAACTGTAACCCAATTACATAACAGCGACAAGTTACTAACAGCTAGTGCTCCCCTATTACTAAGTGTAACCAAATAACATATCAGCGACAAGTTACTAACAGCTAGTGCTCCCCTATACCTAACTGTAACCCAATTACTTATCAGAGACAAGTTACTAACAGCTGGTGCCCCCCTATATAAACTAAGTGTAACCCAATTACATAACAGAGACAAGTTACTAACAGCTAGTGCTACCCTATATAAACTAACTGTAACCCAATTACATAACAGCGACAAGTTACTAACAGCTAGTGCTCCCCTATATAAACTAACTGTAACCAAATTACATATCAGAGACAAGTTACTAACAGCTAGTGCTCCCCTATATCAACAGTAGTGATTTTATCTATAAGTAAACGTTTTGCTACCTCGAGTTTCCTTCTTGCTGGAGTATTCACTGTCAGTGGAAGGTTTGTGTCGTCGGGGGACCGTCTCCTCCTTCTTGTTGACTGGTACATAGGTGTGGTTGTTCGCCCAGTAACAGCCCTTGGTGTTGATGGCATGAGTCCCAAACCGAATCTTCCTAAACCATTTCTGGTATAGTGCGTGTCTTATGGAGCTCTTAAATATAAAGAAAATTGTTAGTGTAATTGGTAGGGGGCAATGAGAGGTGATTTTCTCCTTCCTCTATGTATGTAAGTAACAAGTGTCCCATAGGGGACACTCATGTTTGTATGTGTATCCCAAATAAAGTTGCCCCAGTGCCCTAAACTATTATGATGTCACAATCATATGATGTTATGTTATGATGTCACAATTAAAATTCCATTAAAACATCATTAAACCGACCATAATGATCTTGCAAGCGGTATTTGATACCATTTTATGAACATGAGAACTATTTCACAAGCTTGCCCTGAAGGTCTTAAGGTATGCCTTATTTTTTCTGATTTTTTCATTAACAGCCTTGATTAGTTTATGTAAACACCATCTTCACATTTTGGGTAATAGGTGAGAGAAACAGTCGATCAGTATGTATAGGTACATGTAGTATGGAAAATGCAGAGTTTGGTGTCCGCTACTTGGCAAAGCTTCTTTGGCCCAAATTTATTGAAACTTCCTGTATGTGCTTGATTTTTTTTCCAAGCACATCATTTGATAAAGTAGTTTTAGGACATGTGGCACAGTGGCACACACCTAAGAGTCCCAGAGGGTGAGAGGAGGGCCATTGTACACTGGGGAAGCTCCTGAACAGGTATAGAATATATATATAGACAACCCCTGCTAATAGAGATTCTCATTACTCTGTTATGAAAAAAGGGAAAATTGCTATTTGCTTACCTAAATTCAGGTGAACTTTTGATCATTGTGGCACCTCCAACTAGAATGCTGTTTATTTATTGGTCTATTGTTGTCTAAATTCAGTAAAAAACAACAACAACATATGTCTACCCTTATTAGCCAATAGACAAACTTCGATATAAAAAAACAAAACAAAGGGCCATATCTCTTTATATAGTGGGGCATGAGACCCGAATTTAGAATGTGACACTCCTACTTCCCAAGATACATTAAAAGTATAGCAAGTTTGGTCAACGTAGGTGAAATAACATGGAAGCTATGCCGTGGACAAACTTCGGTATTAGAAATAAACAAAGGGCCATAACTCTGTATATAGTGGGGCACAAAACCTGATTTAAGTGCGAGAGATTCCACCTTCCCAAGATACATAAATATGGTTAGTTTGGTCAACGTAGGTGAAATAACATGGATTTTATGCTCCGGACAAACTTTGGTATTAAAAAAACCCAAAGGGCCATAACTCTGTATATAGTGGGGCACGAGACCTAGATCCAGTGCACTGCACACCTTCTGTGGGTGATGCAGGTATACTTCAAGTTTGTTTAAGATATCTTTAATGGTTTAGAAGTTATGCTGTGGACAAACTTCTGTATTTAAAATAAACAAAGGGCCATAACTCTGCATATAGTGAAGCACGAGACCTAAATCCAGTGCACTGCACACCTTCTGTGGGTGATGCAGGTATACTTCAAGTTTGATCAAGATATCTTTAACGGTTTAAAAATTACAGGCCGGACAAGAATTTACTGAATATGTTGCACTTATTTGACCTTTGACCTTGAGGTGAAGGTCACAGTGACCTAATTTTAGGGCACTGCACACCTTCTGTGGGTGATGCATGCATACCTAAGTTTCATCATGATATCTTTAATGGTTTAAAAGTTATGGCCCGGACAAGTTGCGATAAGAAGAACCAGAAGAAGAACCAGTACTGGTAATACAATATGTCTCCCTTCATTAGAAGGGGAGACATAATTAAGCACTCAACGTGTCAAATTATTGCTTTATCTATTTTTACACTTCTGAAATTCTTTGGTGTATAATTGTCTTTTGATGACATAACAAACTTTTAATTGATTTTGACTGCATAAGAAACATTATTTAATTGATGACCAAATATAAAACATTTGATGACATTGATGTCATAATTGATTTTTTTAATTGACCTTTGACACTAAAGAAATATCAAATTTGATCACAAATGAAACAATAAATTTGACCATGTTAAGAAGCACTTTAATATTGAATTCTGATAACAGATATTTAATCAATGCCCACATGAGAAACAATATTTAACTTATCACATAAGAAACATTTAACTGACTGTACATACCCTCCAGCTTCCAAGAGCTGCTCGATCCATGTACCGAAAATATGGATATCTATTTCTGAAATAAATATTTGAAAAAGCCTTTTTCATTGCTTTCACCATCATATAATATCTTAAAGACTGCCATATAGTAAATTATGTACTGCCACACAAAACAAGAAGCGCTGTATTACGGTAGGATACTATGTGTTGCTAACTGAGATCTATACATTTTAATAAAAAACTATAATTCTTAATTATGACGAGTGATGGCATCCATGTTGATTTTTGTTTACAGATTAAACAAAAATGCAACAAAATTTCAAACGATATTGATGTCATTGGCCCATAACACAACATTACTTTAAAAGATAGAATCGATAAGCAAAACCATATTTTTATTGGTAATAAAAAATTGGCAATAAACTCAAAGGTAGAAAAATGGACAAACGAATTTGAACTCTTCTTTGTTGGAGTCACAACTGAGTTCTGTGACTATCTGCCTTAACTGCACATTAATATGGAGTTACGTACTGTACAACAGTGTAGATCTGTGGGACCTGCAGCAGACCGTCAGGGCTTCCATCAATGGCCTGGCCGACTAGTTCTACCAGCTTGTCAGGTGGACGAATCAGCTTACTGCCTTTAAATACAACAACCTGTGACTCTACTTACTGCCTTACAATACAACAACCTGTAACTCTATTTACTGCCTTACAATACAACAACCTGTGACTCTACTTACTGCCTTACAATACAACAACCTGTGACTCTACTTACTGCCTTACAATACAACAACCTGTGACTCTACTTACTGCCTTACAATACAACAATCTGTGACTCTACTTACTGACTTGAAAAACAAGAAGCAATATGGATCATTTTACTGTCTTAAAACAATAACTAATGTGAATATCCTCCCTGTCTAAACCATAACAAGAGGCCCAATTGGCCTTTATCACTGACACCTGTTATTCAACAGCATCATGAGAGGAATTAATAAAAGATTGTTTTTCTATCATATCATATTTTAAATGCAATAAACAGTTTGGTTATTGAAGAAAAATACTGTTTAAACTAAACTACCTAATACTGTTGGCAAACTCATTTCACATATTACTTTCAGACTTGTCAAACAGATCAATTGAAATAAACCTGATATCAAGCAATTATAGCTAACACTACAGGCTAAACATCATTTCTCCAAATTTTATGGATCTTTTTTGGAAGAGTTTGACTTCTTTTACTCATGTGACCTCAAAGTAGGTCAAAGTTATTTATTCAAAAAGCTTAAATGACATTATTTCAAGAAAGCTGCATGCAAGTCAATAACATTGCTTAATTTAGACTTAAAAGATCTTAAAAAAGAAATCAGAAGATGTTCTTTTAAGATTTTTTACATATGACTCGGATGACATTGAAAGTAGGTTAAAGCCATTCATTTGAACAAGTTGATGGCCCTCCACCTTAGAATGCTTCAAGCCAAATATCATGACTATTGGCACATTTAATTATAAAGAAAAGATTAATAACATACCAATAGAGACAGGGAGAGTACATGGCCTTTTTTTGTGAGGTGAGGTGGAATAGTGATGCGATTTATAATTTCCTTTAATAGTAGAGCTCTGATTACAACATGGATATATAATTAAAATGAACAGATGAGAAGATGTTACCTATAGGTAGTTTATGGCTGTTGTCGTACGGGTCACTCTCGTTGTGGTAGGTAAGGTACACACTATCAGACATATAGTTCCTGCGCTTGCGTTTTTTCGGTACCTACCAGTATAAGTGAGGTGTAGGATACAGTTGTATTAACGTTTCACATCAGAAAACAAAATCAACATATAATGGACTCAGAGATCAGAGAAGTCGAAAAAAACTGTCCATGGAAGAGGGAAATATTACCGATAATGGGAGGGAATTAGACCTTTAATATCAATATAATAGGGTGTCAGATTAGATTATATTGATCACATGACAAGGAAATAAAACATTGAACATTCCCCAATTCTGAGCCTCTCTACAGATTTACTTAAGTAACCACCCAAGTTCTGAGTGACTGAAGCAGACAACAACAATGGCATGTTAGCCTGATCATCTTCACTGTGGTGTTATTGTTCTATTTCAGTATAATGGTCATCAAGTATTTATTGCCCTTGTAGGGGAACACAAGTCTTTGTTTCCCCCATGATTTATCATGTTTCATCCTCTTGAAACAACTGATTAATGTCAAGGAAACAAATAGCTATGTTTCCCTACAAGAGCAATTAATGTATATTATCCATGGAACAGAAGTATATTACCATTATTATACTATATAAGTGCCGTAAATATAATCCACAGTAGAAGGAAATATCAACTGCACTGAAGGAAATATTTTGTCAATGCTAGTTGGGATGAACACAGCTAGGGGGAATAGTTTCTGAAGGGAAGGCTGGAAATATTATTATATTACTGTAGAGGAATATTATACCCAAAGTATACGTGTTTATTGTCAACAGGTAGATGATTATTATCAATATTGGAGAGAAATTTGTCCAAGATAGAAGGAAAATCAACTAATATTACCTATTACACATGATAATAGGAAATAAAAGGATAGATGATGGACGCAGACAATTACTTGCCTCTATATCCATATCATATGATATAACAATTACACATGATAAGAACTTAAAAGAAACATACAAAACAGCCATTAACAGAGAAATATCTGACATCCATTTATCAGTCCGATTTAATTTTCACCAGTTAAATAGAAATATGAAAAAGCCAAGATATCATAACAGGGAGTAGAAAGGCCTGTTAAATGTCTCCCATTGTGATTAAATACCTGGTATGTTCTGTGGTGACCATACCCATTGGTGGTCAATATCATGGAGTCATGCTTCAGTTCCTCAGGGGGGATGTAGTAGTCTTCATCAGGGGATACACACATGGAGTAAATCTCTGCCCTTTCATGGATGTCTCGCTCCTCCAACTACAATATACAGGTTCCATAACAACTGATAAGCTGTGGTGAGTTTTTATTAACAAAATTTGACAATCAACTCTAACAAATAAATAACTACTTAATAAAATTTCAGCATTCATTTCATCATGGTGCTATAGATGAAAGCCTGTGCTTGAAAAGCCATGAAATCAAAGGGCATCAATCTTTAAAACTGAAATAAACATATAGCATATCAAAAACCTATAACAAGAGGGCCATGAAGTCTGTGTCATTCATCTTGATATTTATTCAAATGACAAAGTATTCATATTGATAATAATGTTACAGTTATTTCCCTATTTTGGGCTCCACTTTTAAGTTCCAAGGAACAACACCTTTACTTTACATAATATTTGACAGCCTGATTCCAAGGATGCTCCATAGTAAACTGTAGACATAAAACGCATTGGTCAATAGTTAACTTGCCTCTATGCCCCAAGGAGAGTTACAGCGTTTCTTTATACAACGATGTATGCTTCAAAATCATCCTTGCTCGAGGTGTATATAGATATGATTATATTGCCTGAGTTATGACCCTGCGACTAAGTCCCTGTTGGTGGGGCCAGACCCCTGAGGAAATTTTGCATGCACAAGTGTATTCTTCTCTTTATGCCTAGCAATTGTATATGTTTGTATGGTGGGGAACTCAGCTGTATCTATGCAATGACAACAGGAAAAGTCTCCAGGTGCTGGGGTGGACCTAAGGCAAACCCTGGTAGCATGGACGATTTGTCTGTCCATGCCTAGCTATTGTACTGATGGTTATAGGAAAAGGAATCTCAACTGTTTCCATATTATGACTTGGGGTTTAGACCCTAGAGGCAGGGCTGAACCCAGAGGTAAGATTATAGTAGTAAGATTCTGTTTGTCTTTTCAATTACTCATGACCCAGGGAATAAGTTCCCAGTGGTGGAGACAGACTCCTACCGTAATCTGATCCTAGTTGCATCTCTTAATGCCCAGCGAAAAAGATATGCAGCTAGTGATATTTTAAACCAAATATGGTGATAATATGTGCAACTGCTTAGGAGGAGTAGGATTTCAAATAAAGAATGCCCCGAGTCAAGATTTTAGACTCCATTCATATGGCCCAAGTGGAGCCACAACTTTTGTTTATACAACTTTATGTTCCCTTTGTCCAAGGATATTTCATGGCCAGATCATATTTGATTTTATATGTTTATCTGTGCTGAAGGATTTGTTATAGATTTTTCATTATTGGTCCTACCCTTTTATCCACAGGGAGGCTGAAACCCTCCATTTATGCAATTTAGACTTCTATTGGCTCAAAAATGCTCCGACCCAAATTTCGTCAGTAAAAGAAAAAGTTGAAGCATACATGACATGTATGACAGCCAACGGAAGCTGCACCATAATGTTAGCTCACAAGGCCCTTCACTTCAGGTGAGTTAAAAATCTAGTCAAGAGAAAATTGATGAAAAATGTTAGTTTCTAAGAAAAACTATTACTAACTATCAAGCAAACCTTAGTAAACAGATATTCTTGTCCTCTTTCCAGCTTATCCCTGATACTTTTTCTGCGCTCCTCTTTCTTCATATATTCCTCTTCCACACCTGACAAACAAACATCAAAACATAACTTTTATATTAGGCAGGTGTCTGACATGGAGTGGTGTATCTCTTGACTTGCTTCCATAATCAGAATAGAGCAATTTAATACCACAGAAAATCTTCAACTATAAACTTAACTTTCGTAAATTTAACACATACCAAAGATAAGTAGAAGGCTAATTTATTCTAGTGGAACAGTTGATTCAATTTCTTTACTAAAAAACATAAAGTAGTCACCTAGCAACAATTCAATACTCAATACTTGTACAACATCAGCTGTTTAAACTCAACAGTCATCACAAAAGGCCCCAAATCAGGCTTTTTGTGTGTTGTATATTAAATGTATTTTCCATGTCACAAGGTACAGATTCTTCTTGAAAAGAGTAGGAGAATGATTTGGCTGTTTCCATGCAAAACTTTCTTTCCTTATGGGGCATTTAACTGTCAGCTGTTTGCTTCTAAACAAGGAGAGAAATAAAGTCACCCCAAACATTAAGTTCTGAATTATTAAGAAAGGTGCTACTGTGTACCAGGCTTTTTTTACTAAGTGTTACATAAAGCCCTTTAAATAAATTCATATAATGTCATAAAGGATACGCTGTGTTCTATTATTCACTGTTGAGATAAACTGGCCCTAATTAAGGAGGGTAAAACAGGTGAGGGTGAATCAACAATAAGTATTTCCCGGTACATATTTCACAACATTTAATTGTGGTACAATAACAGATTGAAGGTGTTGGATTGTGTACCTCTCATATCACTTAGATCTGTATGGATTGTGTACCTCTCATATCACTAAGATCTGTATGGATTGTGTACCTCTCATATCACTAAGATCTGTATGGATTGTGTACCTCTCATATCACTAAGATCTGTATGGATTGTGTACCTCTCATATAACTTAGACCTGTATGGATTGTGTACCTCTCATATCACTTAGATATGTATGGATTGTGTACCTCTCATATCACTTAGATCTTTATGGATTGTGTACCTCTCATATCACTTAGATCTGTATGGATTGTGTTCCTCTCATATCACTAAAATCTGTATTGATTGTGTACCTCTCATATGACATAGATCTGTATGGATTGTGAACCTCTCATATCACTAAAATCTGTATGGATTGTGTACCTCTCATATAACATAGACCTGTATGGATTGTGTACCTCTCATATCACTTAGATCTGTATGGATTGTGTACCTCTCATATCACTTAGATCTGTATGGATTGTGTACCTCTCATATCACTTAGATCTGTATGGATTGTGTACCTCTCATATCACTTAGATCTGTATGGATTGTGTACCTCTCATATCACTTAGATCTGTATGGATTGTGTACCTCTCATATCACTTAGATCTGTATGGATTGTGTACCTCTCATATCACTTAGATCTGTATGGATTGTGTACCTCTCATATCACTTAGATCTGTATGGATTGTGTACCTCTCATATCACTTAGATCTGTATGGATTGTGTACCTCTCATATCACTTAGATCTGTATCAATGCGGGGAGTGTCCAATGAAAACTTGTGGCGCTTTGATCTTTTAAGATGACTTCGTTCTCTTTTCCGCTTCTTTGTCTGTCCTTCAATGCTATTGGTATGTGGAACAGCAGGATGAGGTGTGTGACTGCAGTTAGCTGTCGTAAAGGGTAGCCTGATCTGATATATCTGTACCTCGTCATAGCAGTCTGATAACTGTACTCCTGGTCGTGTCGCTTGTGGCATTGCTTGCTTCCTTCTCCCTGCCATTTTGGTGTTGGACTTCATGTTGATGATGGGGATATTGTACCCGTATTTACAACTGCTTATGTCATGATCAGCTCTCATTTCAATCTGAAAACAGTGACAGCAATGTCAGTAAAATAGGACAGCAGTTAAGGTATTTTTGGTTCTGACTTAATAGTCTTAATAGACATAAATAGTTCCTATTTAAGGCTGAAAATGTTAAAAGGATCAGTGAAGTGCATATTTTGATAAGTTGAAAATGTCATGATATCAATGAATGCTATTATAAGATTGAGACTAAAACACAGCATTGTTAAACAGGTATTGTTTATACATGTAACAGGAAAGAGAATAGTGTGCTTCCACCTGGGAAATAACCCTCAATCTCCAGGTTCCTAGTTGGACGCTCTACTACTGAGCTGAAGGGAAATTCCCTCAGCTCGAAGCTAGTAGGCAACTGTTATCCTATGTACAATTAAAACCTGCCACACTACTTCACCCTTTTTAAATGAGTTTGCCCTCGAACACCACAACCCAGGTTCTAACTCCCTGTCACTTCAGGGAGGGCCACAGACACCATTTGTAATAGGAAAGAGAATAGTGTGCTTCCACCGGCGACCGGCTACAAAGCTCAAAGAGAAATTCCCTCTAGCTCGAAGCTGGAATAATAATAATAATATTTATTCAGGTAAAATATAGGCATATTACAATACATAAATATCACAGAGTAGAGTACAGTACAACATTGAATTTTGCGACAGTACTTTTACCTTAAAATAACAACATTGAGCACTAGTTAATATATGAGATCAATGGATTACAAATTTTACCGAAATTGCAGCCTTTTACCTAGAATAACCCAAAAAGCTAAAAGCTTATTTCCATTGGGGTCCATTAAAAGAAACTAAAGTACAATTTTAAAATTGAGTATTTGTGTTATACATTATTTGATACATTTATGGACATCATTCATAAAATAAACTGCTATTTCATTAAAATATGATGGTTAGTTTAAAAGTACACATAATACTTTTCTTCTATTTGAATGTGAAACATTCAGTAAAATATTCAATAATACTAAAAATAGAATCATATTAAAAGTACACATATTCACTTTCTTGTTTTCCTTTCATAAGCTTCTGTAAATGACTCTTCACCTTGTATTTAAAAGTGAATTTATTATTTTCACTTTTGATGTTTTCAGGAAGTGAATTCCAATCTTTGGTACCAGAAGAATAAAAAGTTGTAGATTCAGAACCTTTTATATTAGGAACAATAAAATTACATAGATTTGAGCAAGTATTATACAGACATGGATTCCTGTTAAAAAATTGATACATATATTGAGGAGCTTTGTTTCATGGAAAATATTGAACATATGGTTCAGCCTAAGTTGCCTTGCCCTGGTATTGATATCCAGCATTTTTACACAACTAAAATCTTGGTATGACAAACTGTGTCTATTATGTACATTTAATATAAATCTTATCGGCTTGTTTTGTGCCACTTGTAGATTGTTTAAAAAAAATGACAGTCCTTCATACCAACTAGCACTTGCATAGTCAAAGTGGCATAGAATAAGCGCAGAGCACCTTAAGTAACCCCATGTACAATTAAAATCTTCAATAACGCTATTGTGTCCCGGCGGTGGAACTTTGATGAGCAATAAAACATGTACATCTGAAATGTTGCACATTGGCAATTTAGTTATTTTTAGTTTTACGATTTACCGAGTAGTGCACTGAACCGGCAATTGCCGGAAACACATGTTCGGGTTGCAGGCAAGGATAAGGGCAGGTTCTCTATCTTCAGTTGCGCTTTTCATTCTTTTACTTCTCTGTACCATTCAACGTAGTTTACACTTATACTGCAGTAGACCGAACGGTTTACAAAAATGTTACGCAGAATGCGCGATTAACCACGCCCCTTATCCGTAACCGACAAGTAAAAACCGCGGGGTTTTCAAAAATAATGGTTGAAGGCCTACACCTTGAAACCGCTAGATGAAGGAAACAAAATCAAAAGGTTTAAAATTGTTGAATTCATCTGTAAATATATGAATACACAACGACAGTATGCATAAATAAACTCAGGATTAGCAGCCACAACATTGAAAAGGGAACGAAGTCAAGCCTAAACTGAGTTAAGATACGTTGGGTGTTTTAATCAAGTTTTGATAGCATTTCACTTTTCCACTTCTTAGGTAATGGAAAATGACTTTGTTACGGAATTTTTGTTTACCATGCTTGGTATATCAGCTGTTCTGTGGGAGGACTTGTCCACGTGCTGGAAATTGACACACTTCAGAGATCAACAATGGAAATCGACATCGTCTGCTTTAGCTTATGACCCCGATGAACTCTAGTGGCCCTCTCCATTGGTTTAAAAAGACCACGTGATGTGTCTGAAAAAATAAAATGCCGCCAAACATGAGAAGTATATTTCGCGCGAAAAATGAACTCTTGAGATTGAACTTCAACCTACAAATTTCGTCAGTTCGTGGTCTAGATCTAGATATACGTTATTTTGTTATTAAAAAAACAAGAATATATTGGTACAATCGAATTAAATTAATTCAAATATATTAAGTATTTGAGAAGACTCCAAAAAAGGACATCTCTATTAGATTTGCTGACATTTACGACAAATTGATTTATTTTTTTTAGATATATGATTTATCAAGAACTAATCCACTATAAATTCATTATAATTGCTCCTTTCGTTTCATGTGTATTACTAGCAGAATGCTCGTTCAAGAGAAAAACAGAAAAGAAAACAGTGCTTTCCATCTTTTATTTATTATTTTTCCATCATCTATCATTATTCATTTTTTATTCATTTTTCTATCAATTCATCAATGCTAATAATGTCTTCAGACCAAACAATACTACATTCAGTTTTCCATTCATTTGTAAATCCCTTCATTATAAAGGTATACATATTCTAGAGATAAATACCGTACTGACAATACTGTCTTGTTATTTTGCTGAGCACCAAAGTAACTTTTGTAATGTCCAACAGTTTAACTCAAAGCTTTGATGCACATGTCATAATACATCATCTCGTCGGGGATTTATATACATTAATCACACCTGTTAATTGTCCAGTTTGAGTTTAATATCTTCTTTTTTGGGGGAGATGGTTTGAGGACAACATCACAGGGTGTCATATCTAATCCGTCTGCTCTATTCCTGCAGAATGTGTCGGTTCCAGTACCTAGTAGTACGTAGTGGGTATGGACTCCGATACCAGAGTTACGTTTCTACATCTCATCGTTCTTCCCTAATAATTATGAAAATGTAGTGTTTGTATTTTTCAATTATAGGCTCCGTTCCATGTAAGTTCTGTTGTTTTGTTCAAATCGTTAAGCCTTGTGTGCACTTTCCCCCTGGCTCACTTTCATGTAGATTTCGTGTCTAACAATACTATGATACATTCCTGGGCCTGTAACTATTGAACAATGATTTTACGGAGCCTTTCCTCATTCATAACAGTCGTATCGATCTGTATTATATGTTCTTTACGCCCCTGTAATATACCTTGCGGATAAAATAAGTTTACTATTCTGGAAACTGAAACAAAACCTTGTACACTTGTTATTTCTTTGGAAAGCAAACGAAAGTTTAGCAGAATAACTAACCACAACGGAGTACTAGTCAGAGACTTCCTAACTCTTGTTGTATTTAAGTTGTAGTCATATAATTCCTACTTCTTGTTGTATTTCTGTAGTTGTCAGAGACTTCCTTGTTCATGTTATTATATTTCTGTAGTTGTCAGAGACTTTCTAGTTAATGTTGTATTTCTGTAGTTGTCAGAGACTTCCTGGTTCATGTTATATTTCTGTAGTTGTCAGAGCCTTCATTGTTCTTGTTGTATTTCTGTAGTTGTCAGAGACTTTCTAGTTAACGTTGTATTTCTGTAGTTGTCAGAGACTTCCTGGTTCATGTTATATTTCTGTAGTTGTCAGAGACTTTCTAGTTAATGTTGTTTTTCTGTAGTTGTCAGAGACTTGCTGGTTTTTGTTATATTTCTGTAGTTGTCAGAGACTTCTTTGTTCTTGTTGCATTTCTGTAGTTGTCAGAGACTTTCTAGTTAATGTTATATTTCTGTAGTTGTTAGAGACTTCCTGGTTCATGTTGTATTTCTGTAGTTGTCATAGACTTTCTAGTTAATGTTGTATTTCTGTAGTAGTCAGAGTTTCTGGTTCTTGTTGTATTTTTGTAGTTGTCAGTCTTCCTGGTTCTTGTTGTATTTCTGTAGTTGTCAGAGACTTTCTAGTTAATGTTATATTTCTGTAGTTGTTAGAGACTTCCTGGTTCATGTTGTATTTCTGTAGTTGTCATAGACTTTCTAGTTAATGTTGTATTTCTGTAGTAGTCAGAGTTTCTGGTTCTTGTTGTATTTTTGTAGTTGTCAGTCTTCCTGGTTTTTGTTGTATTTCTGTAGTTGTCAGAGACTTTCTAGTTAATGTTATATTTCTGTAGTTGTCAGAGACTTCCTGGTTCTTGTTGTATTTTTGTAGTTGTCAGAGATTTTCTATTTTTTGTTGTATTTCTGTAGTTGTCAGAGACTTCCTGGTTCTTGTTGTATTTTTGTAGTTGTCAGTCTTCCTGGTTCTTGTTGTATTTTTGTAGTTGTCAGATACTTCTTTGTTTTTGTTGTATTTCTGTAGTTGTCAGAGACTTCCTGGTTCTTGTTGTATTTTTGTAGTTGTCAGTCTTCCTGGTTCTTGTTGTATTTTTGTAGTTGTCAGATACTTCTTTGTTTTTGTTGTATTTCTGTAGTTGTCAGAGACTTCCTGGTTCTTGTTGTATTTTTGTAGTTGTCAGTCTTCCTGGTTCTTGTTGTATTTTTGTAGTTGTCAGATACTTCTTTGTTTTTGTTGTATTTCTGTAGTTGTCAGAGACTTCCTGGTTCTTGTTGTATTTTTGTAGTTGTCAGTCTTCCTGGTTCTTGTTGTATTTTTGTAGTTGTCAGATACTTCATTGTTCTTGTTGTATTTCTGTAGTTGTCAGTTTTCCTGGTTCTTGTTATATTTCTGTAATTGTCAAGAGACTTCCTAGTTGTTGTTATTTTTCTGTAGTTGTCAGAGACTTTCTAGTAAATAATGTATTTCTGTAGTTGTCAGAGGCTTTCTAGTTAATTTTGTATTTCTGTAGTTGTCAGAGACTTCCTGGTTCTTGTTGTATTTCTGTAGTTGTCAGAGACTTTCTAGTTAATAATGTATTTCTGTAGTTGTCAAGAGACTTTTCTTGTTCTTGTTGTTATTATGTAGTCGTCACAGACTTTCTACTTAATGTTGTATTTCTGTAGTTGTCAGACTTCCTGGTTCTTGTTGTATTTCTGTAGTTGTCAGAGACTTTCTACTTCATGTTATATTTCTGTAGCTGTCAGACTTCCTGGTTCTTGTTGTATTTCTGTAGTTGTCAGAGACTTTCTAGTTAATGTTGTATTTCTGTAGTTGTCAGAGACTTCATTGTTCTTGTTGTATTTCTGTAGTTGTCAGACTTCCTGGTTCATGTTATATTTCTGTAGTTGTCAGAGACTTCATTGTTCTTGTTGTATTTCTGTAGTTGTCAGACTTCCTGGTTCATGTTATATTTCTGTAGTTGTCAGAGACTTCATTGTTCTTGTTGTATTTCTGTAGTTGTCAGAGACTTTCTAGTTAATGTTGTATTTCTGTAGTTGTCCGAGACTTCATAGTTCTTGTTGTATTTCTGTAGTTGTCAGAGACTTTCTAGTGAATAATGTATTTCTGTAGTTGTCAAGAGACTTTTCTTGTTCTTGTTGTTATTATGTAGTCGTCATAGACTTTCTACTTAATGTTGTATTTCTGTAGTTGTCATAGACTTTCTACTTAATGTTGTATTTCTGTAGTTGTCAGACTTCCTGGTTCATGTTATATTTCTGTAGTTGTCAGAGACTTCATTGTTCTTGTTGTATTTCTGTAGTTGTCAGAGACTTTCTAGTTAATGTTGTATTTCTGTAGTTGTCCGAGACTTCATAGTTCTTGTTGTATTTCTGTAGTTGTCAGAGACTTTCTAGTGAATAATGTATTTCTGTAGTTGTCAAGAGACTTTTCTTGTTCTTGTTGTTATTATGTAGTCGTCATAGACTTTCTACTTAATGTTGTATTTCTGTAGTTGTCATAGACTTTCTACTTAATGTTATATTTCTGTAGTTGTCAGACTTCCTGGTTCATGTTATATTTCTGTAGTTGTCAGAGACTTCATTGTTCTTGTTGTATTTCTGTAGTTGTCAGAGACTTTCTAGTTAACTTTGTATTTCTGTAGTTGTCAGAGACCTCTTGGTCCTTATTATATTTCTGTAGTTGTCAGAGACTTCCTGGTTCATGTTATATTTCTGTAGTTGTCAGAGACTTTCTAGTTAATGTTGTTTTCTGTTGTTGTCAGAGACTTGCTGGTTTTTGTTATATTTCTGTAGTTGTCAGAGACTTCTTTGTTCTTGTTGCATTTCTGTAGTTGTCATAGACTTTCTAGTTAATGTTGTATTTCTGTATTTGTCAGAGTTTCTGGTTCTTTTAGTATTTTTGTAGTTGTCAGTCTTCCTGGTTCTTGTTGTATTTCTGTAGTTGTCAGAGACTTTCTAGTTAATGTTGTATTTCTGTAGTTGTCAGTCTTCCTGGTTCTTGTTATATTTCTGTAGTTGTCAAGAGACTTCCTAGTTGTTGTTATTTTTCTGTAGTTGTCAGAGACTTCCTGGTTCTTGTTGTATTTTTGTAGTTGTCAGATACTTCATTGTTCTTGTTGTATTTCTGTAGTTGTCAGTCTTCCTGGTTCTTGTTATATTTCTGTAGTTGTCAAGAGACTTCCTAGTTGTTGTTATTTTTCTGTAGTTGTCAGAGACTTTCTAGTTCATATGTATTTATGTAGTTGTCAGAGACTTCTAACATGTAACTGCTATATTAACTATTTACCTTGTGTAGTTGACAGACTTTCTACTTCCTGTTATATGTAAATATGATTCCAGTAAAATCACATGTTAATAAGTCGTCTGTCTCTCCATTACCTGTCTCTTCATTACCTGTCTCTTCATTACCTGTCTCTCCATTACCTGTCTCTCCATTACCTGTCTCTCCATTACCTGTCTCTTCATTACCTGTCTCTCCATTACCTGCCTGTCTCTCCATTACCTGTCTCTTCATTGCCTGTCTCTCCATTACCTGTCTCTCCATTACCTGTCCTGTCTCTCCATTACCTGTCTCTCCATTACCTGTCTCTAAATCTAAATCATGTCTGAAAAATATCCACATCCCCACTCCACCCAACAGAAAAGTGGAAATAGATCCAATGATTTCTTTTTAATTAAAAGACTTTTGTATTGAGGACATTTTTCAAATGAAGAGAAATATTTGTAAAATATCACCAGATGATCACAGAATAGGAAGCTTTGTGTGCTGGGTACAGATTTGAAACAAACTATCAAGGCAAACATGGTTTATATCATTTTTACTGTGAATCAGTAATATTCTCTCAAATCCACAAATACATTTGCTACATTTATGTTTATACAAAACATGCATTGTATTTGACAGTGGTTCTACCGTAAAGTAAAGTATACCATTGACATCAGAAACAATGAAACGTACGACCAATTACAAGGTTGTGTACTCACTGGTTTCCTTGTTGATTTATATATAATAAACTTAACTATAAAATGGCTGCCTGCTATTTCACTAATCCTATAAGCACTAAGATGAATATACCATGCTGTCATCCCAGTTTATGTAAATACAGATTTTGTACAATGCATAAAGGTTTTCTATAAGAAATAGAAAACAAATATTTGTAACAGGAAGTAGTCTGTTTAAATCCCTTGTATACAGAGAAGACATTCTGGTTCCTATTTCACTCTGTCTACAAAAACCAACTGGACATACATTCTCAAAATCAGCCACTGTTCTGTGTATCACCAGACTTGTTAATTTTCACTTAGGATCACATGCCATTAAAGTAAATATCCCGATTTATGCTTGAAATTTCCATTCTAAAGGTTTACAGAGTAGTAAATAATTGAAAGCTTTGACGTTTTATTATTATATTTTATTACTATATTATGTAGGAGGGATGATCCCGGGGCACCCCAACACTGGCATCCCTCCCAAAGATGTTGGAGGAATAAAACAATTTGAACCTAAAAAAAAAAAAAAAAAAAAGCTTTGACATTTGTAATGACAAGCTTTGTTATACAAAATAATATAAAGCTAAAGGTTAAAGGGTGACAAATTTTCAGAAAATAAAGTCAAAACTGAAAAACAAACTGGAATTTAGTTAATTTAGTCATTATTTAGTCTACATTAGAATATCATGTCATTACAATGTTTAATAACACAACAATCTACAAAAATACTTATCTAAGTTAGAGGTCAATTAGCAGATTAGTGTACATAGCATGTACGGATTAATCAAAGTTACAAACATACATATAAGGCAAAAATTTAGGTTTGTATTTTAATTCATTTGTATTAAATTTAAAGACTCTTTAAATGACAATTACTTAAATATAATTTATTAAAATGTAAAGTGCATACAACCCATCATTACATTATCCATTCAAAAGTATAGTTACTAGTTACTACACCAAACCTACTCATAAAGCCTGCTTTAAACCTCTGGGGGTCGCCAGCTACATAACATCTACTTGTAAAGTCTGGTCTGACCTCTGACTAAGGTAGCCAACTACATCACACATACTCATAAAACCTGCTTTTTAACCTCCCAGGGTTGCCAACTACATAAATTGTACTCATAGAGCCTGGCTTTTAACCTCCCAGGGTCGCCCACTACACCAAACTTTCTTGTAAAACCCAGCTTTTGACCAACCAGGGTCGCCCACTACACCAAATTTTCTTGTAAAACTCAGCTTTTGACCAACCAGGGTCGCCCACTACACCAAACTTTCTCGTAAAACCTGGCTTTTAACCTCTCGGGGTCGTCCACTACACCAATGTTTCTTGTAAAGCCTGGCTTTCAACCTCCCAGGGTGTCATGAAGCTTCCAAAGAAATGACCTGCAATACTGGATACAGACTTCTGAAAATATTTTTTCTTAAGAAAGTATGTTAAAGAAATAAATATATCTATTTTACCAGTAAACACTAATATTGCTGACAAAAAGCAACTACAGGGCCCTTATTCATGAAACCGTTCTCATGCTTCAGCATGGATCCTGTGCTCAAACCAACTTTCCTGTAACTCGCTTAAATCATGTGGCATTAAGAAAAATTTAAGTGTAAACAATGAAAATAATTTTCAGCTTTATGTCCTTCTTAACTTCTTCCAAATTACTGATAAAATGTTTTATCACCAGAACAAGAAAAATGGGCTTGAGCACAGAATCAGAGTTTAAGCATTACAATGGCTTTATGAACACAGGCCCAGGTGTGTGACGAGTACCCTGACAATGATATAAACATAAAAATCTTATAAAGCTCCAGAGGCTTGGTAATATCAAATATCAATACTTTGTGAGAACTTTTTTTACGGTTAAGCAAACTGAATTTCAAGTTACATTAAAATCAACAGTGAAATGTTCTCTTTACGATATATTGTATGAGCCAAACATATTCTGCTTCATCTCAAACAATAACATGTGGTAGCTTCAACAAGTGGCTCTGGGCATACAACCTTCAATGTTTGATTCTGGTATCTACTCTATTATCACATAGTGTTACCGTATGTAACAGTGTAATCACACTTTTAGCCATTTTGATTTGACTGATCGTTTCCACTTTGCAATATCATAACAAAAGAAGCAGCCATGTCACATGACTACATCTCCCTTGACAGGGTAACATCACTCCTGATACAGAAGCTGGAGCTCACAGATAGAAGGGTTTTGTGGAATAGAATCTCACACTTGAGTGAGATAAGTTTTTAAGCAATTGGCATACAAATCATTCCAGTGATTTCAATAATGTCATATTAAATTAAAAAATAAGTGTAAATTTCTCAACAAATAATAAACCAAGGAAACAGACATGAGGCTTTCCAGCACCGAGAAGTAGAATTCAAACTTTGATTACAACAGTATACAATGTTTAACATTTGTGATATACAAACTTAGTACTACACGTGTATGGAATCTCAATAAATATTTCACAAAATCAAATATTGGATATTAAAATCAATCTCATAATATATTTAATTATATAGTGTTTCTATACTAGTGTATGATAGGAAAATGTGCTTGAATTATATTGATTAGTTAGAACTGATGATCTTTACATATTACAAGTATTATGGACATAAAGACAAACTACAACTAAATGACGAACTAGCCAGACTCAAAGACCAGCCACAACACAATGACAATCTTGTCAGACTCAAAGACCAGTTACAACTCGAGGACAATCTAGTAGGACTCAAATACTAGTCATGACTCAATACTCTAGCCAGACTTAAAAATACAAGCTACAACTCATTGATGATCTAGCCAGGCTCAAATACCAGCTACAACTCAATGACGATCTAGCCAGACTTTGAAGACCAATTACGACTCAATGATGATCTAGCTAGACTTACAATACCAGCTATGACTCAATGACAGTCTAGCCAGACTTACAATACCAGCTACGACTCAATGACGATCTAGCCAACCTTACAAGACCAGCTTCAACTCAATGATGATCAAGCCAGACTTACAAGACCAGCTACGACTCAATGACGGTCTAGCCAGACTTACAAGACCAGCTTCAACTCAATGATGATTAAGCCAGACTTACAAGACCAGCTACGACTCAATGACAGTCTAGCCAGACTTACAAGACCAATTAGGACTCAATGCAATCTAGCCAGACTTACAAGACCAATTAGGACTCAATGACGATCTAGCCAGACTTACAAAACCAATTCGGACTCAATGACAGTCTAGCCAGACTTACAAGACCAATTAGGACTCAATGACAGTCTAGTCAGACTTACAAGACCAATTAGGACTCAATGACAGTCTAGCCAGACTTACAAGACCAGCTACGACTCAATGACGATCTAGCCAGACTTACAAGACCAGCTACAACTCAATGACGGTCTAGCCAGACTTACAATACCAGCTACGACTCAATGACGATCTAGCAAAGTCAACATTGTTCTGTACAGAAATTACTGTAATTACATTATAGGGTTCTAGGCACGATTCTAGCCCGAGCATGTTACTATATATAATTACTCTACTATATAAACAATTATGGACAATATTACACCACTCAATAATGATGTGTCGTCTCTCTAGCAAGGGGTTGTTACTATAGTAACTAACATACATCTAATTAATGTTATGATGCATGTCTCTCTAACAAGGTGTTTTGACAGTAAAGTGACGATACATCTGACTAGTCACACTTACTAGTATGCACTCAGTTATATCAAAATAACATTACCAAGATCTTTTTTGTCATTGAAAAAACCCATGGTTGGAGACATTTTATCTCAAAATCACCACATTATTCTCCATGGGAATTAATTTTTCTAAAATTTTACTTCAACACAATATATCATTACGACGTTAATTTAATGACTTTCAGTTTTAATTTATAAAACAAATGTCGTTCAACATGTTTGCAAAAATAGACACAGAATGAAAATACTGATATAGCGAACCTTCTAAAATTCTTTTGCAAGTCTCATTTTATTCTTTTACCATATTTTCCAACAAAATTTTGGTGGTGACATGTTCTGATCATTTCTCTTATCTGGTTTAGCATTCACACCATACTGATCGGACTTTATAGTTGGTCTGTAGCTTTACTTTACCTGCCAGTAAGTCAGGTCCGGAGAAGGATTCACGATACGTCAATGATTCCACTAATGAGAATGATTGTACAAAACATCTTCCGAATTAAATGAAGCTTTCTGAACTTTACCATACTTTGTAAAACTTAGTGAAGAAGTTGACAGTTTACTGCTAAAACAGATTTTCTATGAAATTGATCTTCGTGTGTTTCTCGTGACAAATACAGTGCTGCAGTACTGTTGATGGCTGTTACACTGACTGGACACAGAGACCAGACAGATAAGGGATTCGGTTAATTATACAACACTTGCACGGTATTCTAAATTGTAATCTTCTTCAAACTACTAATTAAGCATGAACAAAACTGGCTGTTTTGAGTATTACAATAATGTTAAAACCTCTGTGAGTCTGTGGTTGTTATGTTGAGGAGTGTGTATTCTATTTGTTCATTCTAACAACACCGCGGGCTTATCCTGTAACTGTCAGAAAGCAGATGCAAACAGCGTATCAACAGTACAATTGTATACATTACTATGTACATGGTTTGTAGGGATATACCGTCCCACATATATTTCTCTCACACACATTCCTATTTTATGTTCACTGTTTGTTTATACAATTTGTCTTTTATAAAATATCTACAATTGATTTTGTCTATGTACACAAATGAAATAATACTACAATATATAAATCAACTAAACCAGTATTTGCCTTTTAAACACAAAAAGCCATAAATGTATTTTCCCAGTATGGGAATCTTCATCTATAATAAAGTATGTTAGGAAATAGTGCTTGTGACATTTCTCCTAGATAAATGTCAAGTTTTACAGAAAAGTTGATCAGATATGAAATTAGAACAAATTAGCAGTAGCAGTCCAAACATATAACAATGATTTGTTTTGCCAAATATAGGCTGCTACACCCCGAAAAAAAAGTGCTTTATTTTTCACAAATGAAGAAAAAACTGAGGAATATCTTCCCAATTTCAAAGACATTATACTTCAACTTCCCAATTCTTGTAGAAACAGCCTGATATAAAATTTAGGTAGCAAAAACATTGTGTAAACTGTGATTTTATGATATTTCATATTTTGAAGGTTACAGTATAGCTGATCTTAACCATTAACTTACAGTACACAAGTATAGCTGATATAGCTTAACCATTAACTGTACAGTACACAAGTATAGATGATATGGCTTAACCATTAACTGTACAGTACACAAGTATAGCTGATATGGCTTAACAATTAACTTACAGCACACAAGTTTAGATGATATGGCTTAACCATTAACTGTACAGTACACAAGTACAGCTGAATAGCTTAACCATTAACTGTACAGTACACAAGTATAGCTGATATAGCTTAACCATTAACTGTATAGTACACAAGTATAGCTGAATAGCTTAACCATTAACTGTACAGTACACAAGTATAGTTGATATAGCTTAACCATTAACTTACAGTACACATGTATAGCTGATATGGCTTAACCAGTAACTGTACAATACCCAAGTATAGCTGATATATAACTTAACCATTAACTTACAGTACACAAGTATAGCTGATATGGCTTAACCATTAACTGTACAGTACACAAGTATAGCTGATATGGCTTAACCATTAACTGTACACTACACAAGTATAGCTGATATGGCTTAACCATTAACTGTATAGTACACAAGTATAGCTGATATGGCTTAACCATTAACTGTACAGCTCCAAAGTATAGCTGATATGGCTTAACCATTAATTATCTATAGTGTCAATTGTTTACTACAATTCAATCTATAGTGTCAATTGTTCACTACAATTCAATCTATAGTGTCAAAAGCTCAATACAATTCATTATGTAGTGTCAATTATTCACTAGAGCTTGCTTTAATACTGCCTCTAGTGCCTTACAATGAAAACATAGGGTGATTTCTACTGTCCAAACAGGACATAACTAGATGTCTTAGATAGTCCAACATCTTTTATACTATATCGTGGTGTGTGCAAGGTAAGTGATACAAATTTAATTATAATTTCCTTAACTTTTCATATATTCATGGCTTCAAGCATAGATGAAATATAAGCAAAAATGTCCAATTTCAAATTTTTCAAATTCATATAAATTTCAAGTCATTAAAAATAATCCACAATTTGATTTGTCACTAACAAAGTTCAACTGAATAGTATGTATACTGGGAAATGTTCACCATAGTTTCAATTTTGGCAGCAGTTTTAATACACTGCTTACTATACATAATAATTCTATGGCTAGGTAAGCATATACATTTTCTATTTTACTGGGTGAAGTATTCTAGTATACACTATTTATTATTAAAAGTCAGGTAAACACATATCCCCCTTTTCCTATTTCTTGAATAAGCATATTATGATTTCTACTATCTGCCTCTATGTCTCAGTTTCTGGTCCCGTAGGGAACTATCTGCCCCTATGTCCCAGTTTCTGGTCCTGTAGGGACAGCCTAAGGAGGCCGATGCTAAGTCCAATGTGTAGTAGCATAAACTACACCTCCACCAAATTAATTCTCCACCTTGTCCTGACAAAATATATGGTCACTCATAGGTCCAATTTTGGCATCCGAGTAGGACTGGTCACAAGATGGGTTAGGTAACACCAATTGTATAAAAGCCTAGAGTACGCTACAGTAGGGCTACGTCAAAGTTCCATCCTTGTCCATAAATCGAACATGGGTAAACGGAAAAATTCCTTTCCGCCCCTGAATCTCTCCTTCCCATTGTCCGTTTTTATTCATTTTAGTCACTGTCACAATTTCACCTTTCTGCAAAACAAACATAAATGACGATTAATTTTACAAAGCCAGAATCAATCTATAGTAACTTTCAAAATATAAAATTTTTGGATGTGACCTTGCACTTCATGTTTTGAAAAGGGATACATATATTACAATGTTTATAATTTAAAGCTGAGGAAAATATCCAGCAATGTAAGATTAAATGGAAAATCCCAAGGTTGGTTTCAATCTTATGGAAGAGTGTCACACCACTTTCCTACTGTCGTGTTTAAGCTACTTCTACATTCAACAGAGACAGAATATAAGCTGCAGGCCTTTCAAGGGAGTTAAAATATTTTGAAATCATCTCCAGTAATGTTGTAGAAAGTAGAAACATAACTTAAATATCATTAGAGGTAGCACAGTGATGAAGCATCCTGTATTCATTATCAAGAGATCCGGGAATTGAAACCTCCTAGCAGCGCGTTAGTGTTTTTGTGTTGTCAGTATATTACTCTTTGCTAAATGGGCAAGGAACTCCTCCATGTCAGAAAAATTCCTGAACAAATTAGAGCCCTCCTGAAATGTTGGACATACCATTCCATGCAGAGCGCTGTGACACTCTACCTTCAGCAAAGTTGAATCAATAGTATGACTTAAATTTTGTTTCAGTTAATTTATTGAAAAGACTTTAGAAACAGCATAACCTATATCACTTCTCCACAGTAAACATATATACATATATACACTTGCATAAAACAACATGCACAGTATATTGTTAATAACTAGGAATTATTAACTTACTACAGTTACTTCAGGAAATGGACAATTCAGACACTATGTGTATATATATGTAAATGTTGATAGCTTACATGATATATAACACACACTTATACTCTTACAACACAAAACACACGAACGAAAGGAGCAGACTGACAGGAGGAAAACTCAAAACTTAAAATGTTTCATAAAGTGGAACAACACTCCCTCAAATCTGACTGTACATATAGGGTGTTTCATTTCTTCTCAATTAACCCTTTCACCCCTATGTAACTTCAGTAGACTCTACCATGCATTGATATGGATGGGTCCATTATGGTCTACAGTGGTGAAAGGGTTAGTAGGTCTACATAAAAAGTGTCGTTTTCAATATACCATATTACAGTACATTTATGATGGAGAAATTGTAGGGAAAGATAAATAAAAAATCCTCACCTCTAACTTCAATTGTGTCTTGTCATAAAGATTTGGTATCCGTGGCTGTACTACCACGGCCATGGCTGGTAATTTTACCTGCAAAACAAACAACACTTACAACTGTTTTCTAATTTATGCTGAATTTAGGATCAGTATCAGTAAATAGAAATGTTTTGCAATATACATTGTATATTTTGACTACATAATACTAACACAAGCCATTCTTATTGATATGTCTCGCCTGTGCCCCGCTTTGACCATCAATGCACATGTCAGTAAACTAACTTAAACTCAAAACTTAATGTTGATGGAGATGCTAACAAAGGTCCAAGTTTGGTTGGTCTAGCATTTCTACTTTCAGTGAAACTAACTTAAATGCAAAAACTTAATGTTGACGCCACCGTCAGAAAGGCAACACCTTAGTCTTGCTTCCACTTCGTGGCGGCGAGAAAAAAACCTTGTCCAAACTCAAATTTCTCCTTAATCTTTATATAGTTGACGCTGTGAGTGTGTTTTATTTGACAGGTTACATCAGGTGCAGATATAAGTTATTTTTTTATATTAATGCAATTTTTATAAGTGTTTTCCTAGAGTGACTCATGAGGTGTAATAAAATGATGTTTGAATTGTGAAGATCAGTGGAAATTTTTATTAACAACCTTAAAATATGAGAAAATCAAATTAAATTTGATACACCAGAAAAATTACATAGTAGATAAATTGAGACTTTGTAGCTAAATTTCCAAATAAATCAATTAAATCATGTGCGTAAATAAACAGTTTCCATAATAATTCTGTATTGTAATAATTATGAAGGAGTTCCGAGAATTTATAAATATGAGAAAGTACGAATTCCTAGACTCAGTTATTAGAGAGTTCTCAAATTTAACTAGTTCCACACTGACAGGTCAGCAAAGGTCACATCATTTCTGACAGGTCAGTAAGGGTCCCACCGTGTGTCTAACTGGTCAGTAAGGGTCCCACCGTGTGTCCGACAGGTCAGCAAGGGTCACAGTGTGTCTGACAGGTCAGTAAGGGTCACGACGTGTGTCTGACAGGTCAGCAAGGGTCACGACGTGTGTCTGACAGGTCAGTAAGGGTCACATCATGTGCCTGACAGGTCAGCAAGGATCACGCCGTGTGTCTGACTGGTCAGCAAGGATCACGTCGTGTGTCTGACTGGTCAGTAAGGGTCACGTCGTGTGTCTGACAGGTCAGCAAGGGTCACGTCGTGTGTCTGACAGGTCAGTAAGGGTAACGTCGTGTGTCTGACTGGTCAAGAAGGGTCACGTCGTGTGTCTGACTGGTCAGCAAGGGTCACGTCGTGTGTCTGACTGGTCAGTAAGGGTCACGTCGTGTGTCTGACAGGTCAGTAAGGGTCACGTCGTGTGTCTGACTGGTCAGCAAGGGTCACGTCGTGTGTCTGACTGGTCAGTAAGGGTCACGTCGTGTGTCTGACTGGTCAGTAAGGGTCATATCGTGTGTCTGACAGGTCAGCAAGGGTCATATCGTGTGTCTGACAGGTCAGCAAGGATCACGTCGTGTGTCTGACAGGTCAGTAAGGGTCACGTCGTGTGTCTGACAGGTCAGCAAGGGTCATATCATGTGTCTGACAGGTCAGCAAGGGTCACAGTGTGTCTGACTGGTCAGTAAGGGTCACGTCGTGTGTCTGACAGGTCAGTAAGGGTCACGTTGTGTGTCTGACAGGTCAGCAAGGGTCACGTCGTGTGTCTGACTGGTCAGCAAGGATCACGTCGTGCGTCTGACAGGTCAGTAAGGGTCACGTTGTGTGTCTGACAGGTCAGCAAGGGTCACGTCGTGCGTCTGACTGGTCAGCAAGGGTCACGTCGTGCGTCTGACTGGTCAGCAAGGGTCACAGTGTGTCTGACTGGTCAGCAAGGGTCACATCTTGTGTCTGACAGGTCAGCAAGGATCACTTCGTTTGTGTGACAGGTCAGCAAGGGTCATGTCGTGCGTCTGACAGGTCAGTAAGGGTCACACTGTGTGTCTGATTGGTCAGTAAGGGTCACACTGTGTGTCTGACAGGTCAGTAAGGGTCACATCGTGTGTCTGACAGGTCAGCAAGGGTCATGTCGTGTGTCTGACTGGTCAGCAAGGGTCAGTGTGTCTGACAGGTCAGTAAGGGTCACATCGTGTGTCTGACAGGTCAGCAAGGATCACGCTGTGTGTCTGACAGGTCAGCAAGGGCCACGTCGTGTGTCTGACTGGTCAGCAAGGGTCACAAACGATATAGACTTGGTAATGTGTATTTATCCACAAACGGTATAGACTTGGGAATGGGTTTTTATCCACAAACGGTATAGACTTGGTAATGGGTATTTATCCACAAACGGTATAGACTTGGTGATGTGTATTTATCCACAAACGGTATAGACTTGGTTATGTGTATTTATCCACAAACGGTGTAGACTTGGTAATGTGTATTTATCCACAAACGGTATAGATTTGGTAATGTGTTATCCACAAACGGCATAGACTTGGTAATGTGTATTTATCCACAAACGGTATAGACTTTGTAATGTGTTATCCACAAACGGTATAGACTTGGTAGTGTGTATTTATCCACAAACGGTATAGACTTGGTTATGTGTATTTATCCACAAACGGTATAGACTTGGTTATGTGTATTTATCCACAAACGGTGTAGACTTGGTAATGTGTATTTATCCACAAACGGTATAGACTTGGTTATGTGTATTTATCCACAAACGGTGTAGACTTGGTAATGTGTATTTATCCACAAACGGTATAGACTTTGTAATGTGTTATCCACAAACGGTATAGACTTGGTAATGTGTAATTATCCACAAACGGAATAGACTTGGTAATGTGTATTTATCCACAAACGGTATAGACTTTGTAATGTGTTATCCACAAACGGTATAGACTTGGTAGTGTGTATTTATCCACAAACGGTATAGACTTGGTTATGTGAATTTATCCACAAACGGAATAGACTTGGTAATGTGAATTTATCCACAAACGGTATAGATTTGGTAATGTGTTATCCACAAACGGAATAGACTTGGTAATGTGTATTTATCCACAAACGGAATAGACTTGGGAATGGGTTTTTATCCACAAACGGTATAGACTTGGTAATGTGTATTTACGTCGTGCGTCTGACTGGTCAGCAAGGGTCACGTCGTGTGTCTGACTGGTCAGCAAGGGTCACAAACGATATAGCCTTGGTAATGTGTATTTATCCACAAACGGTATAGCCTTGGTAATGTGTATTTATCCACAAACGGTATAGACTTTGTAATGTGTTATCCACAAACGGTATAGACTTGGTAATGTGTTTTTATCCACAAACGGTATAGACTTGGTAATGGGTATTTATCCACAAACGGAATAGACTTGGTAATGTGAATTTATCCACAAACGGTATAGACTTGGTAATGTTTATTTATCCACAAACGGTATAGACTTGGTAATGTATATTTATCCACAAACGGTATAGACTTGGTAATGAGTATTTATCCACAAACGGCATAGACTTGGTAATGTGTTTTTATCCACAAACGGTATAGACTTGGTAATGGGTATTTATCCACAAACGGTATAGACTTGGTGATGTGTATTTATCCACAAACGGTATAGACTTGGTTATGTGTATTTATCCACAAACGGTGTAGACTTGGTAATGTGTATTTATCCACAAACGGTATAGCCTTGGTAATGTGTATTTATCCACAAACGGTATAGATTTGGTAATGTGTTATCCACAAACGGCATAGACTTGGTAATGTGTATTTATCCACAAACGGGATAGACTTGGTAATGTGTATTTATCCACAAACAGTATAGACTTGGTAATGTGTTATCAACAAACAGTATAGACTTGGTAATGTGTTATCCACAAACGGTATAGACTTGGTAATATGTATTTATCCACAAACAGTATAGACTTGGTAATGTGTTATCCACAAACAGTATAGACTTGGTAATGTGTTATCAACAAACAGTATAGACTTGGTAATGTGTTATCCACAAACGGTATAGACTTGGTAGTGTGTATTTATCCACAAACGGTATAGACTTGGTTATGTGTATTTATCCACAAACGGTGTAGACTTGGTAATGTGTATTTATCCACAAACGGTATAGACTTTGTAATGTGTTATCCACAAACGGTATAGACTTGGTAATGTGTTTTTATCCAAAAACGGTATAGACTTGGTAATGTGTATTTATCCACAAACGGTATAGACTAAGTACTATAATTGCATACAGTAACAACATATTTTTGACAGTTAAGCCCCTTCTATTTTCAGTAACAGTAAACCTTGACCTTAACATCAGGAACACGTGCAATTTTAGAAATTTCAGATTTCTTGATAATGAATTCAAAGTCATCTCTGGAAATGGAAGCGTGGGTAAACACTGTGAAGACCCACTTCTATGAACTATCTAGTAGTAATTTGGATCATGTTTATAATGTTATTGAAGACTGCTTAAGCGTAATTTATTATGTTTTGTTTCAGTTTCAAATGTTTCTTGACACTTCCTGTAATTGAGTCTGTAATTGGACAAGGACTCATCTGACATATATTAGGGAAGTAGTTATATATCTAGGGCTGATTAACAGAATCATATTAACACCAAGGAAGTAATTCTACAGGCCCCTCAACACTATCTCCTACTTGACACAGCAGATGAACATATTTCCTTTGATTGTTTAAATACTGTTAAAATCTCTCAACCTCCAAGTTCAAGAAATTTATTTATGAAAAGATCTAGAACAGTTTGTGTTTTGGTTTGTCTGATACCGTCTATTTCCTGGACAAAATTTTCCTTGTAATACAAGCATCACAAAAGGAGAAGGAAACGAAAATGAAATGCCATAATGTCAAACATAATATTGAACATTATGTTCCATGGATAACACATTAATAGTTCAAGACTAATGGAGTATCTGGCGTTATAACCTAAATCATTTCCTAATCTGTTTGTTGGAAATACAAACTTTTAGCACTCTATGTGGCAAGCTTTAGCAGAAGGAGGTACATGCATGCGTGTGGTGGACGATGACTGATGGAGTGTGACATACTTGTAAAGTTGGGGGCTTTTGACACACGGGAGAAGTTGATGACATAGGATCAACACTCATGCTAACGAAACACATATACAGCCTACCTTTGTAATTTAGTTAGTCCCAACATTTCAGTTTTTTTTCTTAAAGTCAAGTCTTATGAATTTGTTTAATTATTGAACAGAGTGTACTATTTTAGAGTTATTCAGATTGACAATAAAAGGCCACCTGTCTGTGGATCGATGGGGGTGTCAATTCTGTTAACAAAACTATCTACACTTAAAGTCTGTCGACATACATAACAAAAACTATAGAACAAATTGACATAAAACACATTACAGAATACTGATGTCATGTATTCGACCTTAAAACACACTACATATACAAAATGATGGAAATCACAATTAACTGTTGGTTGGATAGTGGGGTTTTTTCTAGGCAAATTTAAAAAAAAAAGCTTTATCTACAAAACAGCAAGAACATAACCAAGCAGTTTCCATGCGTAAGCTCAGTTGGCCCACTGAAAGGATTCAAGGACCTTATAAGGCAGAACTCATGCCTTCTTGATTCAGGCAGATATAAATCTTGTTTATGACAGGTGTGTTTATAAGGTCGAATACTGCAGGCAATAAGAGAGAAATTTAAGAAATACAAATGAAATGCAAATAGATATATACAGGTAAATATTAAGAAAAGGACGAGGAAGATGTTACAGTGATAAAGATGAAGAAGAAGATACAAAGACAGAGATGACAGGAAGATTGGAGGACAAAGAAAAAATGCAGATGAAGACAAATGATGTAGGAGATAATTAGGATGAAGATGGAATATCATGAGCAGAGTAATATACAAGAGATGGAGATGAAAATAGAGATGAGAATGCAGATGTCTTACAGACGGCGGAGCAGGAGTGGTTGGGGGAGGGCTGCCAGGCGGTGGACCATGCACGTTGCCGATATTGTTCTGCCCTACCTGACTCGGCTGGTTTACAGGGTTGGCCGGGGACATATAGCCCTGACCTTGTGGTTGCTCTGGGCCATTCAGGTCCAGTAACTGGTCACTCATCTCTCCGTCAAACTGTAATGGCGAAAAGAAAAAAAACATTGACAGGGAACATGTTATACAGGATATGCTTTACAGGTATGAAACAAGGACAGAAAAGGTAACATTTCCTACAGGAAGCAAAAGTTACTTGGTGTTTGTAAAATATTTTGTTTCAGTAAGAATAATTTATTTACTTGAAAAATCATCATAGTTTTATTATCATATATAGATAGAATATATATATATATATATGTAGAAGAAAGAGAGGGGACATTTTTTAGGTAAATAATATAAAAAGCATTATTTTTTAGAAATAAAGCAAATTTTGTTAATTGATGGAAAGATCAATCACAGAGACAAGGGGCATTCCATAATAAACTTTCTATAACATTCTAAACTTGATATCTGAAAAAGCTTATATCACACTTACATTTACAGCATGCGTTAAGACATTGGACTTCTATTTGTAAAACTGTGAGACTTACTTTCACAACATAAGGTACGGGGATCTGTCCCACACGATTATGACTGTTTCGACACGTCCACCAATCTTTCTCGTCTTTTGATATAACTTCTAATATTTCGCCTTTCCTGAATGCCAAATCTTCTGGATCCTGGAATGCAATGAATTTTTCATGTCAAAAAATGTTTTAAGCGAGCATTATAAAATGCCCATACATGATATTAAATATGCTTTGTCAAACATTTAGCACTAATACTTGGAATTACATACTAGCCTCTTTAAAAGCAAAGTTCATGATATGGTCTACTAGTACATAAATTACATTTGTTGAGTTTATAGGTTTTTCTTTTCCATGACATTTTTCATCAGAAATAACATTTAAATCAATATGTTAGTGAACCTTTTTGTTCCTTATAATGCAATGCAGTTTATACTTACGTTTCCTGGAAAATCAAATTTGGCGACCACCTTAAGCCTTGTCGCCTGTAAAACAGAAAGTGACACGTGGGAAGTTTGCAATTGTCTGTACATTAACAAGGAAACTTTTATTCAAGCCAAGTGTCAAACAAGTTCACGAGACATGAATGTATAGTCACAAGTATCGTGTAGTGGCTGTATGAGGTGTAATTATGTCAGCCATAGGATTGACACTGTACACAAACTTATCAACAGGGAAGTCTTAGCTTAATTCTTAATCTTGCTATATTAATCACAAAAAATAAATAAATGAAGAAATAAAACAGAATAAAATATATTATAGTGCTAAATATTACCAGACCTATCTTAATTCTTAACAAGAGATCCCAGAGGGATCTTGGCGCCCACCTTTGTACCATTTACATTACCGTAAATACCCATGTAATTTGCGCACTTTTTTTTCAGAAATTAATACCCAAAGTGGGGGGTGCGTAAAATACACAGGTATAGAAAATTTCAAGTTTTTTTCAGGAAAAGATCGACGATTCTGGGAGATCGTCATCTTGGGTTATCTCCTTTGGTACACGGAACTCTAAGACAAATGACGGTCAACAAATTTATTTAGGCCTATGTCAAACATTAATAAAAGATACAGTTGATACATAATGTGTTGTTATCTGAGTTTATGTGAAAAGCATTATTGAATAGGTAACCGTCAACAAAGAAAGTTTAGCCAGATTTCTATGCCAGAGAATCACCGGCTCACTTTCATGTTGATCTCGCGTCTAACATTACGTTTAAACACGTGATTGATAATAACCTCGTGAATTATTTCAATATTTAATAAATGATGCATCGTAAAAATAGTCTGCTTTAACTATTTTTTTCCTTGGAGTAGATTGATTGTCTACGCTTCTAGTATAAACATATTTTTTATAATCCCTTATCAGTCAAATCAGTCTGTAGTTATGACAATGCAGTAGGGCTTCGTAATTCACGCCACATGTTGGTGAGTGAAAAAAAAAATAACACGGTCCGTCGATCGCAACTGCAAATCATTTCAATTAGTAGAGCTATTGTTAACGGGTAATCACAGATATAGTGTTAGCTAATTACTGCAGTGTAATTTGTAGTGACTGTAGTGTTGAGAAGTGTCAATAATTTACGCTGAAGCATGCGATCCTACTGGGTTCGACGATTTACAGGAACGGGCAGGAACGGCAGAAACAGGCACAAATGGGCAGAAACGGGCAGGAACGGGCAGAAACTGACGAAAACGGGCAGGAACGGGCAGAAATCTATTTATTATTATATACATTAATGAATATATATATTAGATACATTAAGTATCATTATCGGGTATAAGATATATTTGATAAAAGGATTGCAATTACGAATTGATCGGGCCAGAATCGGACTAAATTATATATATACATTTATGTCGATATTACTTATGATACCTACATTTATAGTATCATATATTTTTTATTGGTATAATATATAAAAGAATTGCAAGGAATTAAGAGTATTGTATTGATACGGATCGGGCAGGAACGGGCGACGATTTACAGGAACGCGGACAGAAAAGGGCGACGATTTACAGGAACGGAGAGAAACGGGGCAGGATCGGACTTATTTATATATATCTATTGTTTATATTTAATTATCCTTATCGGGTATAAGGTATATTTGATAAAAAAAAAATGCAATTACATGATCGGAGCAGAATCGGACTAAAAATTTTGTTTTTTGTCAGTTCGATCTTTTCTCTTCTTTCCTCTAATCTGTTTGATCGAGTCATGTTAACAGTAAATGCACCTTGAAGTGTACTTTTGATCTAAACTTAATACTGATGTGTATGAAAGCCAACCTTCAAAGTGAGTTTGTCATTTCATATATTTACTAGTGCAGTACTTAATGTGAAAGAAATAGAATCGATCATTGCAATATGAGAAAGATCTGTTTAGTTCTTCTTTTATTCCATTTTGTTTTTATGATCAGTCTCAAAATATAACATGCACAATGAAGGATCAAGGGGAACCTACATTTAAAATTTGAGAAAGATCCCTCCCATACTTCCCGAGAAATAGCGATAACAAACTTTCACTATCAAAATCCAAGATGGCTGCCTGTCGGCCATGTTGTTTATCCGATCAGTCTCAAAAGATGCCCTGCACAGCTTAGGACCAAGGGAAA